GAAAAATATTTTAATAATTATTGCATTTCAATTGTCTGATCTTTTTACATATTGTTTTCTTTGTGATCTTTTATTGATAAAATAAAAGTGCGCCAGGAATGGTACATCTATACTACTAGTGTCCAATGTCCAAAATAGTAGTTATTAGTATACAAGATTATTCATTAATTTTGTTAGGTAAATAATTTAGTTAAAATTCATATTAATACTAATTGAAATTTTTATAGTACATCACATCGTACTTTTTATTTTACCTAATGATATGTACCGAACTTTTTCCCCACAGACTTTTTATGTTTCGGACTTTTTTACTTCGGACTTTTTGGAAGTATACCAACATAATCAATTTTACACATAGGAATATTATAACTTTTAAAATGTTAATGATTTATTACTTTGGGTTTTTACAGTCAACATTTTTAGAATAGCATAATTATCCGTCTCAATTTTAATTTTTCACGTGCCATTGAAATTTGACAAACGTGCCACTTTTGGCACGGGTGCCGTGGTTTCACCACCCCTGTTATAAAGGGTTTAAGAACAATTCAAAAAATTAAACATTCATAGGCTTGAAWTTTTTCAAAAGCATTAAAAGTTAATATTTAGACAAAACTCACCTTTTACATTTTGTCATTTTGAAGTATTTGTCATATTATTTATGTAATTAATGTTTTGACTTTTTTGTAAAAGTATTCCGTCACTTGTACATTGAAACGCATGTAGATAATATAGTATAGTATACAGATTACGGTCAAAAATTACATTAGGGGACAGTTACATTGTAAATGTTATATATATTAACGCCGTGTGGTATTACTTGTATTAGTAGTATAATACGGAAATAATTAAATTTTAGAAGAAGGATCTTTTGAAGCCCTTCAAAATGGGGAGGGTAAGTATTTTAAATTTAATAATTCATCAAATTTTAAGTTTTGCATAATATCGTGGCCGAGTATTTATATTTCCCTAGTTATTAATGTATATATACTATACCACCCAATTAATGTCCTAATATTGACTTTTCTGATGAATGTGAAATCATAAATTTCCAAAAACTCTTAACGTTTAATATTAAGGTACTGCCGTGAAATAATTATATTTAATTTAACTATTTGTATTCATTAGTTGATTTTTTTTTTAGTGAAAGAACGTAAACATTTTTATTATTATATTTTGTTTTGTTAATTTAGTAATATTTATTAAATGCAGTTTGTTATAATTCTGTAACAATAAACTGTAATGTCTAATACTTTTGTAATAATTTTTTGATAAGACAGGTCATTACATTTATAAAAAAAAATATGCTTTTTGACCGATTGAAATGCTTGAAATCAAACAAATATCATGTTTGAGAAAAGAAGTATTTAGTCTAAATATTGAAAATCGATTTTCAATTATACTATTTAATCTTATGATCTACATGTGACAAACAAATTTAACAATCCCGCCAATAACTCAAATTTTTCATCATATAAATTCTTATAGTTTCAATTATTCATATTATTTTATAGGTGTTAAGTTATACGAAGTATATAATTTTATAATATTTTCGTCTTGTCAGTCAATTAGTTAATTACTTAATAAATAAAATTCTTTTAAATTTAATATATTAATAGAATTTTTTCAGATCCTAAATAGATTTATGATTATATTTGTCGAAGTATTAAAACAATAATTATGTATGTCTATTTATTGTATGTCTAAAGCACATTTACATGCAGTAAAAATTAATTAATATTTACAACTTTAGGAAGGTTTGTTTTAATATTGGATTTTGTTAGTACATCGCGTACTAAAAAATAGTGAACAATCCCCAGTATTTTTTTTTAAATATTCGGTTCAAACTTTAAAAGATAAAAGAATAATCAAGCAAACTATTATTCAGGGGTTTAGGTACGTCAGTTGGTGTCTGTTAAGAAATAAATATGATTAGATTCAGATTAGATAGGAACCTGTAAACCTGCTCATCCATTTCTTTTACGGGCATCTGTAAAAATTATCATAATAAATGTAAAAACTAAAAGGAAAACAAATAACGTATATCAATGTTTAAAAATAAATATTTTTATGAAAATTTAGAACATCTCCTCGCAGAATAATTTTTTATCGTATACTATGATTTATTATTGAATTGAAACTCATCACATCTATTACAATGATATTATATCCAATGACAATATTGACTATAAATCTGTAAACATTCATTATGATATAGACTAAATATTATTTACTTTTTTCTAGTAACAGTTGGTAAGCTTACTATTTTGAGATCATGATTGGTACGATGAATGATGAAAAACAGTATAAACGTATAATAATAAATGTAAAAACTAAAAGGAAAACAAATAACGTACATCAATGTTTAAAAATAAATATCGTTATGAAAATTTAGAACATCTCCTCTTAGAATAGTTTTTCGTCGTATTCTATGATTTACCCAATGACAATACTGGCTATAAATTTGTAAATATTCATTATGATGTCAACTAAATATTCTTTCCTTTTTATAGAAGATACTGGTAAGTCTATTATTTTCAGATCATAAGTGGAGCGATGAATTAAGAAAGAACAAAATATACTCTTACGCAAAAACAGTTTTCAATAAGATCGATTTAGATTTTTGTAGTTATTCTAAAAAATAATAACCATTGACAAATACAATAATTTTCAGTTTTGACTGAATATTTAAATTAGCATTTTTAAATGTATTATATAATACATTTTTCAATCTTTTATATTTATAAGCTAATGTTTATCCCCTAAAGCTCCTCCTATTTGTACTTCTACCCTTTTTGACATATTATTCTGTATAACAAAATTCACATGGTCCTCAGCGGTAACCACTTCAAAGTATAGATACCGCATCGACCGGCCTACACATTTTTCAACCGCCACAATGGGAGACGACGGTGTGACACCGTCGACTCTCCCACCGCGCTGTAGGCACAAGGTGGGACGAGAAGACAAAACGACCGTCGAACGACATACACGTCGATATAAGTACGCCACTGTCTACCGGATAGTCAACCATCAACCTCGTGTCCTTTTCTTTTTCTGGTGTCAATAAAGAGTCACTAAGCTAATTCGTAACTAAAACCGCTGGTGTTGTATTTTTCTTGTGTCTTACTGAGCTAACAACCCCGCCATCACACCACATTTCTGAGACTGGACTGTTCCGGACCAATTCACCGGACCCAGCGACAGCTAGTCTCAAAGTATGCTCCACATATCCAATTTTTTATATTATAATTAATATGTTGTATTACAATTAGTATAAAAGATAAATCTAAATCACAACTATGTATTTCTTTATTTTATTACCTAGCAAAATTAAGAAGTAGGTTATTTTTGGATTGTTTTTGTATTATATATTTACAGTTTATGCGTTTTATTATTACTTAATGTGATATTTTTCAGTACTTTAATCTATCAATTAATGGCTGTCTCACCATTACCATAATACTCCTCTGAAACGGTTTGATCGATTTTTATGAAATTTTATATGCATATTCAGTAGTTCTGAGAATCGGCTACTATCTAAGGTTATATGCTGTGCGATAAGTGGTTCCGGAGTTATGGCCTCTTAAATGCACGTTATTAGTACCATAGTATTCTAGCACGCACGATATTCAACAATTATTGTTTTGACATGGATAGATATATACACTCTATGTGATTATTTTTTATTATTTGTTTCCGTGGCACGCGCGTCTATGGCATTAAAAGTTACGTTTCACGACAAATGTTTTTTTTGTCTTTTTTTTTAACTGGAAAAACATTTCTTATTTCGATAATTCTCACCAAAATAAGTAGTATAAAAAGAGCGGTTCTGAAACCTACTCCCTAGTAACTACTCCTTTCACGTACATGCGCGGCCTCCCCCCACCTACCCATCCATCATAACCTCACCAAACATCTATAGTATTACGTACGTACACCACCATACCATCTCCCCTCCCCTCACCC